AAACCCTGTCTCGAAAAACCAAAAAAAAAAAAAAAAAAAAAAAAACCTGAGGGGAACCGTGCCAGGTTTAAGGAGACAGGCTGCAGCGGAAGGGAGCCGAGGAGCAAGAAGAGCTGGGAGTCGTAGAAGATGCCTGTGGCCCAGGAGAGCCTGGGGCTTTGATCTGTTGCAGGCGTGTTTAATAGGGAGCTAGGTGCCCTGTTGCTCATTGCTCAAGGTACTTAGCTGTAGGAGTGGATAAAGGAAATAATGGTTTTTCTGGCAAACAGAAACCCACTTTCCAAGGTTTCTGAGAAATGCTGCGTTTAGTTTTTTGGGGTTTTTTGTTTGTTTGGGTTTTTTTGTTTGTTTTGTTTGTTTGTTTGTTTGTTTCCGAGACAGGGTTCCTCTGTGTAGTTTTGGTGCCTGTCCTGGATTTCACTCTGTAGCCCAGGCTGGCCTCAAACTCACAGAGATCCGGCTGGCTCTGCCTCTCAAGTGCTGGGATTAAGGGTGTGCTTTTACTTAGCACTTACTGGGCACATCTTTATTGTGCTAAGCACTGGATATACAAGAGTAGACAGCTTTAACTTGTAGTAACTGAGGACTTTGCTAAGTAATTTTGATAACATAAAGTCAAGGTATTCTGGTGCTTTTTTTTAAAGTGTGTATAAGGTTTTTTTTAAGATTTATTTATTTATTTATTATGCATACAATGTTCTGTCTGCATGTTTGTCTGCAGGCCAGAAGAGGGCACCAGATCTCATTACAGATGGTTGTAAGCCACCATGTGGTTGCTGGGAATTGAACTCAGGACCTTTGGAAGAGCAGTCAGTGTTCTTAACCTCTGAGCCATCTCTCCAGCCCTCTGGTGCTTTTTTTGAATAGAAAGACTCATCAAAAGAAAGCTACAGACATTCTCAAAAGTCTCCACTTGGATCATATTGTGAAATGCAGTGTGGAAGGATAAAAGAAGAAAACACATCCAAATAACCACTTCAATTGGGAATGGTGCTGTATAATCCTAGCATGCCAGAGAATCAGGAGTTCAAGGCCAGCCTCAGCTACATAGTGATTTCCATGCCAGCTTGGGCTATCTAATGAGACCCTGTCTTAAGGAAACAAGTAAAAACCTACTTTATATCAAAGATATGCCTATTTATTTATCAAGAACTTGATATAAAAGAGTTATTGAACCAAGTGTGGTGGTTCACCCTTAATGCACCCTTAATCCCAGCACTTGGGAGGCAAAGGCAGATGGATCTCTGTGAGTTCAAGACCAGCCTGGTCTACAGAAAGAATCCCAGATCAGCCAGAGCTACATAGTAAGACTCTGTTTAAGATTAATTAAATAAATAAATTTTTTTTCAAGGATGAGTTATAAACTCCTCAGTATTCCAAATACTGGGGAAAACAAAATATATCAGGCTGAAAACCAGCTAGCCTCTGGGTGCTCAAACTCCAGCTGCTTTCAAAGGACTGAAAAAAGTAAGCGATTATTATTTTTTTTTAAATAAGGTCTCATGTAACCCAAGAAGGCCTCCAACTTGCCGCTTTGAACTTAACTTCTGATCCTCCTGCCCCCAGCTGCCAAGAGTTGGGGGTTACAGGCAGGTGCCACCATGCCCTTTTTGTTACTGGGTCCTGGGGATTGAAACCAGGCCTTTGTGCGTGGAAAACAAGCACTCTGCCAACTGAACTACACTCCCTTTCTGGAAGTGAGCATTTCTGAAAGGGAAATGGGGTTCATCAGACCTGCTAGAGGCAGAAAAACGAGCCAAACACATGCTGGACTTTTGATAAAGCTCATCCATAGTCAGCCTCCAGTGTGGATGCTCTAAAGTATATGCATTGTCTTTCTTTCGCAGACACAGGGAAGCTAGCTAAAGGCTGGCTGCCCTCCCCGGTCTCTGGAGGCTGCTGTGCCTGCCCACTCCGCTGAGCTTTGGCTGTTTGGACTGTCAGAATTCATTGTATTGTTGTATTATATCGTCCTCTAGTGGCCTCACGTTTTTTCTTATCTCCCTTCTTTCTCTTCAGGCAGAATTCTTCATTGGATCATACAAGGCTTTCTTTATACCTAACAAACGTCAAGTAAACGAACCGAAATGAATGACATGCCTCCGACCTGATGACTGAGACTAGATGGTGAGCCTGTTTTCACAGGAGAGTGAGCATTCAAACAGTTAAGGCTCAGGTAGCTTAGGCCACTGTGGTTTTCTTTAAAATAGATAATATAATATACCACTACCTCTGCTATGGAGTGAATAAGGTTTGGTTTTTGGGCGGGGGTGGTTGAAACAATCTCATGTAGCCCAGGCTAGCCTCAAATTTGCTATGTATCAGAGGATGACCTTGAACTCCTGACCCTCCAGCCCCTACTTTCAAGGGCTAGGATTATAGGTGTGTACCATCACATCTGGCTGGACTGAATGTTTTGTGTACCCTGCCACCAAAGCTTTTATGTTGAAACCTCATCAAAAAGGTGGTAGTATTTGGAAATAGAGCTTTGAGAAATAATGCTTATGTTCAGTTGTGAAAGCAGGACCGCCCACACTAAAATTTGTATCCTTACGTCAGGGATTCTCAACCTTCCTAATATTGTAGCCCTTGAATACAGTTCCTCATGCTGGAGTGACCCCCTCAACCATAAAATCTTTTTTGTTGCTACTTCATACCTGTAATTTTGCCACTGTTATGAATCGTAACGTAAATATCTAATATGCAAGGGTCTTAGGTGACCCCTGTGAGAGGATTATTTGGGCCCAAAGGGGTCGCAACCCACAGGTTGAGAACCACTGATGTAAAGGGGAAAGGAAAACATTAGAGTTTCCGCTCTGCCGTGTGAGGACACAGGGAGGTGACAGCTACACATAGGTAAGCCGGGAATGGAGCTTCTCAAAGCACACACACATACACACACACACACACACACACACACACACACACACACACACACCACGCCAGCACCCTGAGCTTGGAAAAAGAATTCCAGGGTAGGAGGAACAGGCTCTTAATTTAGCCAAGCTTAAATTCACTTCGTAGCTGAAGATGACCTTGAACTTGTGATGCTCCTGCCTCCACTTCCCTCCCAAGAGCAGGGATGGCAAGTGTGCACCATCGCACCCGCTTTCTGCAGGGCTAGAGCTTGAACCCGGGGCTTTGGGCATGCCAGACAAGCACCCTACCAACTGTGCCACATCCCCAGACCCTGATCTTGGGCTTTCTGCCCTCCAAAACGATGAGGACTACATGTTGGTTGTTTCAACCACACTGTCCATGGTGCATTGGTAAACGGCCTGGGCTGGCTAAAGCAGACTCTTGTGTAATCTCAGGGCAGCCCAGGGTAAATCTGGGGCCAGGACTAGGAGCACAAAGCTCCAAAACTGATGATTGTAAGTTTCCTATTGACAGCAGGTGCAGCCAGTTAGTGTGTTTAAAGGCGATCTCTGTTCCGAAATACTGTGCCTACCAGGGATTCCAAAGAAGGCCCTGGCATCTCGGTCATGACTCCCTCACTTCCTGAACAAGGCAATGATGTAACCTTATGGCTCATTAATCAGTTTTTGTCTCAGCTTGATATATTGTGGGGATTTGGGGGGCTGGGGCTTGGGTTTGTTTTGTTTTACAATATCTATTAAACAAGGGTGGTTTTTGATTTGTTTTTATTCTATATGTATAAGACTCACTGATTATCAATTGGGGGGGGGTATGCAGGGGGTACAAGTGTAATATGCCCGTGCCCTCTTTCTCAGTGTGGGTTTCAGTTGCTGAACTGATGAAACAATGTGACCAGAGCAACAAGGGCAGGAAAGGGTGTGTTTGGTTTACTCTTCCACAGCACTGAAGTCAGGACAGGAACTCAAACAGGGCAGGAACCTGCAGGCAGGAGCTGATGCAGAGGGCATGGAGCGGTGCTGCTTACTGGCTCACTCCCTGTGACTGGCTCACCCTGATTTCTTTTCTTGCCTTTTTTTTTTTAATTTTTATTTCATTTTTTGTTTGTTTGTTTTTACATCCACTTGATTTCTTAAAGAATCCAGGGCTACCTGCCCAGGGGTGGCCCCACTTACAATGGGCTGGGCCCTCTCCCATCAATCACTTATTAAGAAAATGCTCTATAGGCTTGCCTAAAGCCTAATCTTAAGGAAGCATTTGCTCAGCTGGGGTCCCCTTCTCTCGGATGACTCTAGCCTGTGTCAAAATTAGTCAGCACACGCTCCAAATATTTATAGTGTGAGGAGAAACCAGAATACACACATGTTCTATACCATCAGTGCCACAAAGTGCTACAAAGAAGAATAATTAAAGAGCTTTAAGTATTCAAAAAAGAAAGAAGTCACTTTTGAAATAATTCTCCTCCAGTGTTTGACATTTGTCTTTCCTTCCTGCATGAAAACCACGCAATGGCCAACAGACCACAGAAAAATCAAGTGACCAGAACTGATGTCATCAGTCCATACTGAAACCATGATTGAGGACAAGGGTCTTACTTCTGACTTCAGGGAACAAAAACGTTACTGGGTTTTAAACTAGAAGAAACACTCGCTTGTTGCCAACTAGCCAGATAAAATAAAAGACTTATCAAGGGCCATGTGGAAAGAAAAATTAGCTAAGGGTTTAGTGTGGTGGTGAACTTCTGTAATCCCAGCACTTGGAAGGCTGGAGCAGGAGAATTGCCGTGAGTTTCAACCCA